ACTTTAATGCTAAATGTAACAGTAAAACCTGGACCTTTGTTGGTTGAGTAAGTAATACATCAGCGACACTGTCACTGGATCAAATCACTGGATGACAGTGATTACCGCTGCAGGGAGTTTTGATCAGGAAAACAAGTTTCAGACTCTGGGGCTCTTCTGTCTGTTTCTAACAGTTAGTGTTTCTATAGTGATGTGTGAACCTTCAAACATTACAGTAATTATGATTAGAGTGAGGAAGTTAAGTGTAAAGCCACTGATAAAGGTTACTTTTGACACTCCTTGTGTCACTACAGGGGTCACCACAGCTGGTAGCTCAACATATTTGATTTGGCAGATTTTAATACCAGATTCCACCCTGATGCAACCCCCTGTGATCTCCAACCAAAGATTTTTCCCTTTTTATGCAAATGTCTAAACCACACTGATACAATTATGTTGTTATTACTCACAAGAATAGACTTTTTTTTTTTTTTTTAATTAAGAGCCTTAAAACAGGAGACAGAAAATGAGATTGAAGAATATTTGTTTAAATTTTCAGTTTTGGACCCTGATGCTTGACCTATGATACTGTATGTGTTTATCGTTATGCATACAATGTCTTTTTTTTTCAAGCATGAACATTTCCAAATTTGAATCTAAGCTTCTGCTCACTTTTGTGAGCAAAATGTGAACAGTTGATACATACATAAATATGTATGTATCAAATATATTTATACATAAATATGTATAAAGTTATGGTGCAGAGATATATGTGTGAGTACACACTCACACACACACACACACACACACACACACACACACACACACACACACACACACACACACACACACACACACATACAAACAGTTTTGTCTGGTTTAATTATATCTGCATATTCCTAGATTGTAAAACTAAGTATCAGATATTTTATTTTTCTGGTATTCTTGACATCTTTAGAAAAGGACTCAGCAAGCACAAGAACAACAGCATCATCAACAACTACAGCAAAACCCAAATCAGAAGGATCTATATCAAGCGCAACAACTACTCAAGCACCCACAACAGCAGTTGTAACAACATCACCCTCAACAACAGTCATCAACAGTAAAACAACTATAACAACAACCAAAACTAAATCACCCATGAGAACAACCTTTACTAAATCAGTTACAACAACAACCACAGTTGTTGAATCCCTGATGACAAAAAATACAACTACATCGATTGTAATAAGAACCAAAGCTATATCCCTGGGGACAATAAGAATAACTACATCAAATACAACAGTGACCACAATTAAATCACCTACGAAAACAACCACATTTAATTCAACTACAACAATAACCTCAACTAAATCACACACGACAAGAAACACGACAGAATCAACTACAGCAACAACTACAATTAAATCTTCTCGAGCAGCTCAAGAATGCCCAAATGCAGGTCAGTACAGTTTTTCAAATCCTGCCAACATACTGAGCTCTGGTTCATAATAATGTCATGTTTCATTGTTTCACTTATGAACTTTACAGTTCAGTCCAACATCATTCTGATCGTTGTAGCCGGTGGGTTTGCAGTACTGTTTATAATGATTGCTATCGTCATATGGAAAATAAGTAAACGTAAGAATGGTATATTTACAATTTATAAACAAAAATGTCTTTACAAGTCAGTCAGTATTGAACTGAAATGTGTCCTTTTCTATGTTTTTAGTGAAAAAATCACCGACAAGTGGCAACATTGTGAGTTTTCAAATTAAATAATCAGGGTTTTAAAGAATAATGACAACTTTTGTGAATTCTTTTATCTTCTCTATCAATAATTTTCAGTAATAAACTTAAACTAAACTATGTTTGTCAAGGAAATGAGCACAGACAACTGCCATGTACCAGGAACCAGTCAAGAAAGGGTGAGATTATGCACCAGTGCAAATTCACACTTGTTTCATATTTACAAGTACAAGACTGAGTACAAGTATTTTTTACTCGGGTGACAGAGCACATGTATTTTTTTCTCTAAGTGTGTTTAAGTGTTTATTTGTTACGTTTCTTACTCTTATCTCACAGGCTCACAGTAAACGTCAGGAAGGTGATGTGGTGACCAACAGGAGAGTCAGAGTTTCCTACGCCTCTTCTGCAGCTTCCAGTGATAGCAGCAGCATCTACGCCACCATGAAAAGAATCTAATGGTCCAGAATTCAAATGAGAAAACTAGCAAATGAAACTTTTCATTTGTTTAACTACATTAAGAGAGATTTTCTGCATATCTGCTATGTTTTTTACATCAGCGGTCTCCAACCTTTTTTGCGCCATGGACCGGTTTATGCCCGACAATATTTTCACGGACCGGCCTTTAAGGTGTCGCGGATAAATACAACAAAATAAAACTAGTACCGGTACCGAAAAAAAGAAAATGTATTCATAAACTATACATTTCACACCTGAGCCTCAACTCTCGCGGCTCGGTACCAAACGACTCACGGACCGGTACCGGTCCGAGGCCCGTGGGTTGGGGACCGCTGTTTTACATAACAGTTATATATTCCAGATATTTTAACCCCTGTTTTTTCAGTGTTTTTTTCCTATCTTACATTACATAAATACCATACATACATACATATCGTTTGATAATCAGTCTTTAGCTTTTCATATTCACATCTTAACATTTGCACTGACCTTTTTCATATTTAAGCATTCATAATTATTTGTTATAATTACAAGTATTAGTAGTATTACTTAGTAAAATTAAATTTTCAGTAGTATATATTATTCAATATTTAGTAATATTCAATATCATGCCTGAAATTCACTATATAACCTTCATAATTTATTTTTGTCTAGTTTTATCTAATTAACAATCTAAAAGTACATTTTCATTTACATTAAAATGTGGTTAATTCTTTTTTTTAAACATCAACCAAAATGTTTTTTTAATTTATTTTATATTTTTCAGATTTACGAATAGATTAAATACAGTGATAGTAATAGCTGTAATACTGTGACATCAAGAGTTATGACCAGCATAATCTTAATGAAGTATACATTTGTAAAATTTCTTTCTTATATTGCAGTATATTGTATTTTTTAATAGTAGTAGTATGCAGTTAAATACAATCAATATGCAAATGCTTTCAGGTGCATCTTTTTATTTTTAAGATTAATTCACATAGTTGCCATTTAATCTCACTTTGTCGCAGGTTTATGCTGTGACTTTCGTACATGAAGTCACAATCTCTCATGTATCAGTAATATTAATCAATAATGTTTTGTGTTGTTGGTTATGATGTTCTTTCTGAGTTTAATAAAGAATTTTAATGTTCAGCATTTTTTTTTCAAATAAACACAGATATTGAAAACAATGATTTTCACATACAAGGTCTTGAATAATCAGGCCCAATCTAAACACCTCATCTTATAACCCAGTAGACCACTTCACTCTAAAACTGCAGGCTTCTTGTGGGTCTTAGAGTATTTACAATTAGAATGGGTGGCAAAGCCTTCATCTTTCAGGCTCCTCTTCTGTGGAACTAGCTTTCAATTTGATTTTGGAGGCAAACACTATCTCTGCTTTTAAGATTAGGATTACAACTTTCCTTTTTGACAAAGCATGTAGTTAGGGCTGGATCAAGTGACCCTGAATCCTCCCTTTGTTATGTTGGAATAGGTGTAGGCTGCTGCACTGAATATTTCTTCTTCAGTCACCTTTTCCACTCATTATGTGTTGATACACCTCTCTGTATTTAATTATTGGTTATTATTAGTCTCTGGCTCTCTTCTTCCCGTGAGCCCAACCAGTCACAGCAGAGCCTGGTTCTGCTGGAGGCTTCTTCCTGTGTCTACAGAGAATACATGTCATATTTTTTGTAATAAGAGGGAATAACAAGCATATATATTTCATTATAAAATCTTTAACAGTATATGTTCCGCTAGATTTAATCAGTACATTTTATAAAGAGACCGTATAGATCTGACTGATCTGATGCTGAAATAGTAATCATTACAATATGCAAAATAAGTTCAGAACCAAACTGTAAACACAAAATCAAGATAGAACACACGTTGTTCTGGGTGAACAATGTTAACAATTCAATACTCAATTCAGTTTCACACAGCTGCATTTATATGTTGCCAACTCCTTTTATATATTATGTAACAAAGTTTGGATATAACACAGTTCAGATTTGCAGAAGTGTAAATCTATGCTGACACATAGTAAAGCATGCACATATGAAGTAAAACCTCAGCAATCAAATGATGAACTATAGGCAGCACTTGGCAGAGGTAGGAAGAAAAAAAAGAAGTTCTTTTAACAAGAAGTAATCTTCAGCAGAACCAGGCTCAGGGAGGGGCCGCTATGTGCCATGAAGGGAAAATGTAGAGAAAAAAGGAGAGCCAGGAGAAATACACAATCACCATCCACAATGAGAAAGGAAGAGAAAATAGGAAAACTCAGTGTGAAGTGTGAATTAATGTTTATACTGCATCAATGCAAAGGACAGAATTTGAATGAGTGAATGGAATAAACTGTGAAAGAGATCAGTTTAGTTTGCATTAGTAGTGAAAATCCCATCTTATCTTTTCATAAACACTTTTTCTGAACCTCAGTGGAAAATGTCAAGGAAAGGTGTGACAAAAAGTTAGAATGGATTGTTTCAGTGTAACTGAAGATGTTGGTGTGTCAGTTGACTGTCTACACTTGGGTTAAGCCTAAATGCATAGTATTGTATTTACAATCAAACGGAGGTTTCTATCTTCTGAATCATCTGTAGATTGTGGGTATGCTGAATGCACTAGTCAGATGCATGTCTGAATTACCCTGATTAAATGAATACAACACTGGAGATTAAAAATATCCTTACAAAGCTCCTCGTGGTGCTGAAGGTTTCTTTCGGAGTCTCAAACTGATTTTGCTTGCTTAAAGAAGAATCAAGGAAACACCACCCCTTCTACCTATTTCATTAGCAGCTTCTTTTATATAAATGATTTCTTGTTTAGAATTAATTACACCAGCCCACTGTGTTTCACAAGTGGACAGCACACAGTTTAACATTTGAAGGGTTAAGGATGAGACTATCAGATGGTGATAGAAGCAGTTCATCATCTGAAACCCCAGATGGCAGAGCAATTCGGAAGTGCTGCAGAAGGGTGGTGAAGAAGATGAAGAGTTCCATCCTGGCCAGCCTTGCTCCGGGACAAACCCTGCGACCTGAAATACAAAACAAAAAAATACACTAGATTATATCTGTAAGTAGACTGGGTCTTGACAAGAAGTTGATTACAAACCTGCAGAAAAAACCATGAAGGCATCACGCTGGATAAACTTTTCATCTTTGTCCAGGAAGTGTTCCGGATAAAAAGTCTCCCATTTACTCTCATCAGACAGAACAGAAAACAGGAAAGGATACACAGCTGTCCCCTGTTGAATACACAAACCTTTATTTCTTGCATTTTTTAATATATATTCACAGAATATTACACAAAACTCATATATTGTTTTTACATGCGACTTAAAAGTAAAATTGCATCTGGGACAAACAAGTTTTGGATGAAAACATTTTTAGAACTTAAAAATGCAAATAACTGATTGATGAAGACTGAAGAGTGTATAAAACGTTGATTTTCATAATAATTTGGATAATCACATACTAACTGATCAGAGGAAGAATCCTTCACTCTGCTTTGTTCCACATCTGTGACGATGTTTTTTTAAGCTGTAATATACAATAAACACATCATTTGTGTTCTGATATATTTTACCTTCTTAATGAAGTGTCCCCTAAAGAGGTCCTGAACTGATGGAACTTCTTTAAGATTCTTCAAGACATTTAAAACCTTTAAAATTCAGAAAAAGGTGTTAAAAATCACTTCTTTGAGAAATTTAATTTTTTGACTAAATTTCTCGAAATTTAAAGGAGTGAAGTTGTTTTCTCTCCACAGCCATTAATCAGCTTTTACCTTTGAAGGGTTTAAAAGCTTCCAAAAGGTAATGACACTCCTCGATGATTTTGTCCTTCAGCTTCATCATCGTAAACTGCCTCATCTTTTTTCCATGATTCACCATTAGCCCATACAATACCTGATTTGATCAAAACAAATTTCAATGACATACACATGGCAATATATATTTTCAAATTATGATGCACAACAGGAAATGTATTTGCCATAATCTTGTCTTTTTAATTACTCACCCTGTCCTCGAAATAGCTCATCCATAATTGGTATTGGATCCCTTTCTCCAAATGCTTCAGCATGGTCAACAAGTGCCTCCTTTACTGTGTTGTATCCTAACAGGAACACTACTTTTTTGGTTCCCAGATAGATGGTGAAAATTGATCCATATTTCTTGGATAACTACAAACAAAAAAACACGTTAACACATCCATGCTTATCATACATTACAGTATGACCCTGTAACATTCACTAACGTCACATATATTCTCTTCAGGTCCAGCTGCAGCAGGTTCCCAATTAAAGGAAGTGGTGTGGGTCCAGGAGGCTCTTTTCCATCCTTTTGGGTGTGAAAAATGTTGGAGGAATGTAAATAGAACAGTAGAAAGACTGTCAGAGCTGCAAGTAAAACAACTGAATAAATGGACTCGAGGAAAACATGTAATATCTCCATGGCTTAAACACAGATGAGTTTGAACTGAAAGACACGATGACTGAGGGTTATGATGAACACAATAGGAATGAGACACGGTTCAGAAAACCTAACTCATATTACTGTACTTTGGTCTGTGCTAACTGATTAGGAAACAGGGGATGATTGACAAAAGGATAAGCGGAAGCAAATGGATGGATGGATGGATGGGATGATTGACACATTCACTTAGTGTTCTACATCTTAGACTGTTGTTTATTGTCATTGTATCAGTTTAGCCCAAGATGTCCATTAATGTGTCACTGTCTTTTAGTTAATTTGTATCTGTTAGTTCTTTAAACACAAACGGGCATGTCTTTGAAAAAATAACTAGTTGTTCTTTTAAGAGGGACAAATGGTTCAAATGTCAGCGTGACATTTCAGGCAGGTGACATTGACACCTAAGTTTGTGAATGTGTTTACTTGAAAACAAGGCAACATAGGAGCTTCAAGTTGATACGATAGGTGTAGCTACTAAAGATTTCAGGTGAGTGTAAATGTCAGTGACTTTGACATAAAGTTCAGAGGTCAAGTTTTCTGAAAAAATCATGAAAGCCATAACTCAAGAAGATTTTGAACTCAATACCGTAGCCGTATGTACAATAAATCTTGGATGAGTTTTCTGAAAATTTTGTAGATATCAAAAAATTACTTTTCAACAAAATGCAATAGGATTTTGAAATTTAGATCATAGGATCAGCTCCTAAGATTCGTGGACGAGTTTGAATCTCAGTGACCTCGACTTCAAGGTTGAAAAGAAAAGTCAGAGTTTTTCTTAAAATCTTTTGAATGCAACAACTCAAGAATGAGGTGACGTAGGATTATAAAATTGATACCAGAGGTGTGCCTACTAAGAGTTGAGGGGTAACATTAGTGGCTGCCAGTAGTTTTCAGATCATCGTTGTTGAAAATTTTTCACTGAAAATTATTTTACTGCATTTGAGTCTTGTTTCATCTCATGGCAAACCAGGCATAAAATGAAAAATTTCTAAAACTCTGAAAACATTTAAGTACATTTTTAAAAGTAGCAATTTAGTAGCTTTGTAAATGCACTAGAGTAGATTTCACAGGTATTTTCTTCATGCTACATGTCTATCCGCACGTTATTCTCAGTAGCTCTGTGTTTTATTGACTTTATTGGCAGCTCTCTGTCCATCTGAGGTGCATGAACTGTAACAACCCTTACTGTGTTACAGCACCACTAGGAGGGGTTGCCCTACTATTGTAATCGTTGGGAGAGTCCTCCTAGTGTGTGTGAGTATAGTGTGGCAACCATTACATGCTGCTAGTGTGTCTGTTCCGAGAGAGACCTTGCCATTGTAACAGGCTGGTGCCAGCAACTACCTATCCCCTCACATGTATGTACGGACGGAGTAGAGCCGTGGAGACCTGGCTTGTATGGTCTTATGTTGCTAATGTCAAATAAAGGTCTGTTGATCAACTTAACTGACTGGCTTCGAGTTATCCAGCTAACCGCCACACCACATTCCCACTGGACCAGTTAGCTGCTCTTTCCTCGCCAGATTGCTGTTACAGAACAGTCTGGAGAGCAAGATGAGCAATATTTTTTTAGTCATCTCAAAGGGCACAAAATCGGATCTTATAGCTTTTAGAAGTTTTTCAAACTCATGTTATCTGTGTAACCCCAGTCACAAGTCTAGACAGCTTGGCACAGTGTGTAATGATTTTTATTAGCAACAAGAGCATTTTTTGACTTGCATTGTTGTCACGACCACAGCTGCCGAGCTTCCTAGCTGACATCAGTACCTCACTCCGGGTCCCAGCGTCACTGTAAAAGGGGTGAGATGTGATTACACAATAACATACAGTTGTCCACCAGCCTCTCTGGCACTGCCCCTTGAGCCTGCTGCACCACCCCTCCCCTGCAGCGAAGTCAAAGACCACACCTCTGCCACAGTCTGATTTAATTGATTTATTTGTTCTGTATGACTGGTTTATTTCCCTGTACTCTCACCTCCCAAAGAGCTCGGGGGCTAGAAAAAAATCAATCTGTAATGCTTCAAAATTCTGTTAAGACAAAATGCTTCATTGTTCTTGTGCTTATTTTATCTGGAAATGTACAACCTAACCCTGATCCAGATTGCAAATGTTTGAGTACTCCCTTTGATTTTAAAGCTAGATATTATTCATTTAAATGTTAGAAGTCTTCTTCCTAAAAATAATTTTAAAAAATTGGGAGAAAGCATTGGATACTGATATTCTTTTGTTATCTGACACCTGGGCTAATAAATCAATTAATGACGAAGATATTGCAGCAAAGCATTACAACCTTTATCGTTGTGAATGCCCAAAGTAAGGTGGTGGTGTTGCAATTTATGTTAAAAACAGATTCCACAGTACTTTTCAATCATCAGTGTCTGTTTGAAAGGAATTTGAATTTCTTGCCCTCAAGCTCCAACTTTTCAAGGGCCATTTAATTAGTATTGTAGATTCTTATAGATCCGTCTCGGCAAATAATGAGGCTTTAATTTAGTGATAAATTGTCTATTTTAGTGTAGATTCTAATGAAATCTTAATTTTAAATGGGAGTGGTTGTCTTCTGCATCAGACAGCTTTAAATCTATGTGTGATTCATACAATCTCAAACAACTAATTTACTGCCCAACTTGTCCAAATTTTAAATGGCCAGAAGAATCATCACTTATTGATTAATTTTTCATTGACAAATTTTTAACTCTAACACTAATTCATTCAAAACTGCTTTAATGTTAACCATATGTTGTAAAGAGGTGATCCTTCAGGTGTTACAGTTTTTTCTGAATGCTTAAACCCTAACTGTGATTCCTGTAGCACAATCTCTAAAACTATTCAGACTTATAGCAAAACCACTCACTGAGTTTGCAAAACTAAAAGCACAAAAACTGCTTTGCACTCAGTTTGCAATTTTGTAACACACACTTTGCAAAACTGTAGGCACAATTCACTGCACAACACTCAATTACCAAATTTCCAACACACTCCTAGCAAAAGTATACACATGTATGGCTATCATTAACACTAATTTGCCAACTGTCTGGCACACTTTCACATGTGAAAACTTTTTTAGATAATTAGTTCACTTTGCAATCAGCCTAAGCACTATAATACAGGTAAGCTGTGTGTGCGGAGTACAATGGAGGGAGCAGAAAGAGTGAGAAGTAGAGGAGGCCGAGGAAGAGGACGAGGAGGTGAAGAAGTAGGATGAAGAGGACGACAAGGACAAGGAGGAGCAAGAGGAAGACGAGGAGGGGGGAGAGGAAGATGAGGAGGGGGGAGAGGAAGGGTAGGAAGAGTAAGAAATAGAATTGCTGATGACATCAGAGCTACAATAGTGGACCATGTAATCAACCGTGGAATGACCCTGAGGGAAGCTGGCCAACGGGTCCAGCCTAACTCGAGCCGCTACACTGTAGCAAGTACCATAGGGACATCTTGAAATGAGAATCGGTTAGTACAGTCACTTCGCACAAAGATTTGTAGCACTGCCATATGCCAATGAGAAACACACCAATACCATTGATGTAAAAATACTGAAATTGTTACTTTACAGAATTGCTAGATGACCAGATGCTGGGGGCAGAGGAAGCATGTTCACTGCAGACCAAGTAACCCATATAGTCATTATGGCGATTGCAAATAATCCTATACTTGGAAATAAACACTTGGGTTTGTTTTCATGTGTTTGAATAAACACCAGTACTTGAAGTTTGGATCCCTCTATGCTTATGGATCTATGACAGAAGTAGCTCAAACTGACATAGCCTTGTGCACAGAGAAAGCAAAAGCCAGAAGTGTTTTGTATTCATACCATCAGTGTGTAGTTGGCGCATTGTGTGCTTAGTAGATGATGGCTTGTGTGTACTGTTTGATACGGAAACACCATTTTTACGAAGGTGTGAAGAGTTAATCTAGCTGTGTTTGCTTTTGCAAGAGAACTACAATGTTTTGATTATTGGGTGACAGGTTTTCTTATTTGTGTGAAGAGTTTTGCAAAATTAGCCAATAGTTACAAAAAATGTAAGCAATCAGAAAAAACTGTAATAACTATAGCGCCATATCTAAATTAGCTTAGTTTAGTAGTGAACAACTACAATATTTTTTTACAATCCTTTTTTTTTTTTCCAACATCAGTCAAGATTCAGAAAACAACACAACACAATAACTGCTGCTATTAAAGTGGTGAATGATATTATGCTGTCCTCGCCCTGAGTCTCTTAGTTTCACCAGCTAGACAGCGAGATAACGATGCTCCAATAACCAGACTTATTTTCCTTTTTGCGCTGACTTATTGAAGAATGGCC